CACACAGGAATGCTTGCCCTCCAGCTGGCCAAATGGCCTTTTTGGCCTTGGTCCGATTTGAAGACTACAGAATCAAAGTGACAGAGCTTCACTTGGGAACAGAGGACACTCCCTGGATGGGTAAGAAACAGTGCACAATGCCACAGGGCAGAAAATGAAGGTTAAATGACATCGAGCAATGCCAAGGTCAGTAAGTGCTCACTTGGGTCGGTGCTGTGCCTATGGGATTCTAGAGCTGGGTGGGCTGCCAAGCATTTCAGAGCTGATACTCTTCTATTTGACAGAATGTATGTGCATTTGTTCGTTTTGAGTAACTGTCATGAGGCATAGGCTGTGGTGTTGTAGCAGTAGCAGTAAACAATCTATACACTCTGCCCACCAGAACTAATGGACTAGTGGACAGCGCAAGTAAATCAGAGACTTCAGATAAAGTGGGATAGTGTGACTGTCAGGGGGAGGCAATGTTACATGGATCAGGGGAAGCCTCTCCTGGGAGTGACTTCCAAGCAAGCAAGCAAACAAACAAACAGTAAGGAAAAAACAAAACAAAACAAAACAAAACAACAACAAAAACAGCCAGCACAGAAGCTGGGCACAGTAGCACAATGTGTAATCCCAGCACTCAGGAGGCTGAGATAGGAGGACTGTGAGTTCCAGGTCTGCCTGGGGTATATAGAGAGACCTCCATCTCAAAAAGCAAACCAAACGGAACTACTAAACAAACAAACAAAAAAGCCAGCCAAGGACGAGTAAGATTAAGAGTTCAATTCTGGGGGATGCTGGCTTAAAGCGGGTCCTTTCAGCAGATCATCTCCCTTTAGCCTGGATCTTGATTTCTTACATCTGAAGCAGGCAGATGTATGTAATGGTTTCTTGTGGTCATTTTGGGTTGCTCTTTGGCCAGGGATTCAATGGGAGGAGGAGCTGGGTTGGATGCAGGACCCCAACAGTTGGCAGCAAGGAGCCAATCCCCAGCAATTTGGCTCCTGGAAATGAGTTCGATTTGCCTGGCAGTTGGGACTGGCTCACAGGAGTCATCAAGTGGTGAGGTGGTGGGATGAGTCTCACCATCTGGAGTGAGAAAGAAAATGTAAATACCATTTGTTTTTAAATACAAAGGAAGTGTTTAAAGGCAAAAATTCCAACAGAAGCATCTACTTCTGGGTGCCTGGATGGAACTGCAAGCCTCTTCTGTGGGGAACTAGAAGGTTGTAGCTAGAAGCTAGAAGGGGCTTCTCCCCAAAAGATGAAACAGCAGAACCCAGAGACACAGCAAAGGGGCCTCTCAGTCGCTACCCGTTCCTTCTCAACAGCTCAGCGGGCTGCTCCAAGTGTGTGTGCGAACAGGAACAGAGACCCAAGCCAAGTTCAGCTCCGTGGAGCTGCTGAGGGAGTACATTTCGGTAAGAACTTAGTGTATGACGGAAGGAGGGCAGGCTCGCCCTAGGCACGTTTTGATTTTTTTTTTTTTTTGATGTGAAAACGATCTTTTTAATAACCAAAATCGGATCTATCACCCCTCTTGTTAAAACCTGTATTTACAATATAATCCAAATTTCAGTGGCTTACTTTGGTTTCTAAAAATTAATGTTTGATTAAAGTTATAAATAGCAAAGGAAGATCAGTTTACCTCTTCTGGAAAGCTTTCTGTTCAACTTACAAATGCAACCATTCTTCTGAAAAGAAGTCTAACCCAACCTGGCAATCACTTTTAAGGGCCATTGAATAGAGTTTGGCCCCACTTGCAAACTTAATTAAACACTTTAAAACATTTTAAGTTGCATTTTAAAATTTAATGCATTCAGTTTCCTTTTTAAATGCCTCAGTGATCTATTTTAGCACTTGAAGCTTCCTGAGTTTGTATAAATCTAATTGAACTTGTAAATGTAGTGGGCTTTCCCTTCTTGTGACCCTTCTTCTGGCACATACAAGCAGAAAGATTGGAACTTAAGTCGCATTTAAACTAACTATTCAATTATGTGTTTTACATTAGAATCTCAAGCCCCAATTCCATAAAGACTACAACTCTCTGAAACACGAAGTATGCAGATTCCTTAAAATGTATCTAGTACAGTATTGTATCTCGTAAATATTTTCCTTCTTAATTCTAAACCTTCTAGGGTTTTAAAATACTAAGAAAGCAACGGTCTTTCTCAGCTAATTGAGGATGCTTATTGACTAGATTTGGGCTGGCCAGTCACCCTGATGGAGCATGTAGGATTCCTAGTTCTAGTTGTTTAGAGAGACTTCTTAATGCAAGAGGAGGAATGGACTTGTAATGAAGCCAGGCTTATATTCTTAAGGAGGCTTTGTATTTCTTGGATGCTTAAGAAGAAAAATTCAGTTTTTTCCCATTGAGCTCTAAAGACCTTTGAACTTGACATTCTACATTCTCGCCATCTTCCTATTTTTAGCACCATGATAACTTTTGTAGATATTGAAATTATACTTGATTGAATTCTTCAAATCTTAAGGCTCAGTTTGGATTTATCACACAGTAGCAAGGTCACCTGCTGATGCTACTAGCCCGGGCCCACAGGGCCCAGTGTGAGCTGTTCATTGCTTATCCCCCCAAGTCAATCATCCTTTCTTCACCAAGCTTCAGTCCTAAATGGCTTTTCTTTCCATTCCCTGAGTTAGTCAAGGTCATTCTGGCCTTTAGGCCTTTGTACTACCTATCTGCCTTGTCTGGAAGGCTCTGGACACAAATCCTTGTAGCTGGCCTCTTCTGGCATCATCTCAGGATTCCAGGTCTCCTCAGCCCTAATGTCACACCCTCAGAGATGCCTTCTTCAGCGCTTGAGTGATTTTATTCTGCTTGCTCCCACCTGCCATACAAGTCACTTTCTGTATTTCATTGTAAACCATTTCATTTCTGTTTTTTTCTTCTTTATTACCTGATGCCCCATTGGAATGTGACCTAGTTTTTGGAAGGTGAGGGTGGGGAAAGTGTCTATTAAGTCGGTCAATGATCATTGGCTCTTCTGCTTTTCAGACCTGTGATCCTGAACACACTCACCCTTTCAAAGTGGGGACCTGTCCCAAAGACTGGCCAAGCCGTGGGGAGATAACTTTCAAGGACTATCGGATGAGATACAGAGACAACACCCCCCTCGTTCTTGATGGGCTGAACTTGAACATCCAGAGTGGGCAGACAGTTGGGATTGTAGGAAGAACAGGCTCTGGTGAGGTTAAGCTCCGCGCTAGCTTCTTTTGAGTTGTTTGGTTTGAATTACACTGAATGTGTTTGTTAAGTCATGTCAGAGAGAGATGTGCATGAGTGCTGGATTGATTGTTATTTTCTTCAAGTCTCTTTATTGTCAATTAGGATTTCAGGTTGAATGGGCATGGAGAGTTGGGAGCAAATACCCACCAGTTTTTGAATTAATTAAATGAGAATAATCCTAGAGATACGAGGCCCAGAAGATGAGTTGTGTGTTAAAGGGCTCTGTAGGGACTGGCAGGTTCACTGTATTAGGGCAGCATAGGCCCCCAGAGTGAGGGATGTCTGCCTCCAAAGTCATCTGCACAGAGTCATTTTCACTGAATTAAAAGATCCCCTTAATTCAATGCTTTGGATATTGATGGAAGTGAAAACTGGTTCTGGACTTGTTCTTACTCCTGTTACCACCAGGAAAATCATCACTGGGTATGGCCCTGTTCCGCCTGGTGGAGCCAGCCTCTGGTACGATTTTCATCGACGAGGTGGATATCTGCACCGTGGGTCTGCAAGACCTCCGAACCAAGCTGACTGTGATCCCCCAGGATCCTGTCCTGTTTGTAGGTACAGTAAGGTAGCAGTTTTCAATCATCGTGTATTCCTGTTTGGCGACCGGGAATTGGGCCAACGAGAAGCTGTGAAGTCTCTGGGCCATGGCTGTTTTGGGGTTGTCCTACTGCAGGGAAGTGGCCTCTCCAGGGGCTAAGAAGCCCTGCTGCTCTCTGATTTCGGAAAGAGCTGAGAAACAGGGACTTGAGTCTTGTGGTATTTCAGAAACTACAGTATTATAATATTACATTATCATTAATAATATTAGTAGTAATATTATTACACATGGGGTGAGCAGATAGCACATTGGCCCTGAATCATCTTATCTGATGCCTGTGTTCCATCAGGTTTAGCAATGGCCACTCTCCAAAGTGCCCCAGAGTACACAATAAAATAAATGGCTCTCTGACATATGTGCAGCAGTATTTTGGCAAGTGCATTAATCCACTTTTACTATGGAACAGAAACTGTTCAAGTATCAGAAGATTAAGGCTGCAACTTATACAGGTTTAAGATCTGTCATCAAAGCCTAGGGGCACTAGACTGTCTCAGCTGGTCTAGGGAAGGGGCATTCCTCCCACTGGCACTAGATGAAATACGGGAACTGTGTTTGCTCTACTTAAAGCTGATCATACAAATGATTCAGTACTCACCCTGAAACACTTGATTCATACCCCTCTGTGGGGCCCAGGGTCTGTAGATGCACCTCCTGTCTCTAAGGCTGCGAGAATGAGGTGCTGGTCTGAGTCGCTCTTCCCCCATTCTCCCCAACCTGTTTAGCTGCTTGAGGCCCAGATGTGACCATGCTTTCTCTGCCTCCCCTGCCCATCTCCAAGGTCTCTGCTCCACCATGGGCTTAGTCGGGACCTAGGTTGAGCAGGCTCCTCCCATCCCACCTTCTGTTGTCCCCAACATGTGTTGAGAAGAGACTGCCTTTTCCAGTTCCTAGAGGCTGCCTGTGTGCTGAGGCCCACGGCCCCTTCCCAACACATCTTCCTCCTCGTTCTCTCATCCTCAGAATGCTCTCCATGCTCTCACCCTTGGGAACCCAGCTCCCTCTCTTTTCCTTCCTCCTTCACTGCAGATACAACTTGGATCCCTTGGGGAGCCACACTGACGAGATGCTCTGGCATGTTTTGGAGAGAACATTCATGAGAGACACGGTAGGTCTCCGGGGCTGTTCAGTGTGAGTCCATGTCGCGATGCCACTGCCCCAGATACTGGCCCAGGTTTCGAGTTGACAAGCCCCTGGGCCAGCACTTGGCTTGGTTTATTTGCAGGAGCCACATATATCATAGGAGTCTAGTCTTTACTTGCTTCTTGTTATTAAAAGCAACCACAGTGGTGTATGTTAAGACTCTGATCTACTCAAGGCCTCTACATGCACCATCTTACTTGGTCCTCACAATAGCCTTTGGAGGCTAATGCTCACTTTTGGGATGCCAAAATTATAGCTCAATAAAATAATGTGTCCAGGTCAGTGAGTAGCAGAATGGAGACTTGAACCCAGGTTCATCTGTGTCTAGAGTAAAGGAGGGTCCTATTACTTTCCCTATGGGCTCACTGGGTCATCAGAACAAATGGAGCCACAGAATGAGGGACAGAAATAGCATGTGCTGAGAATGCAAGGCTGGCTGGCTTTAGGGGACTGAGCAAGTGAATGCTACAGCCTTAGCTGGAGTCAGCAGCCCCAGGGAGCCAAGGCAAACATCTCTCAAATCTACCTTGTTTTGCCATGTCAGGTCTCACCTGTCTCACCCTCCTGGAATAGTCTCCCAATCCCATTTGATTTTGTCCATGGGTATAACAACCCAGAAGGCCATTTCCACTTGTTTGTGTATTCTCTGGACGTGCACATATCATTTGTCCTCTTCTGGTGAGTCACACTGTGGTTGTACATTATTAATGTCTGCCTACTCCCTGGCCTTCCCCGGTGCCTGTTTGCAGTATTGAAATGAGTGGTTTTGCACTTTCTTTCCCACAGTAAAATAAAGCAAGTCAATGAAGGCAAGAGAAGGGGACGATCAACAAGATGATGCAGGCCAATTTTATAGATCATCAGCATAAATGTGGCATTTTCTGTGATTTATAGATCATGAAGCTCCCAGAAAAATTGCAGGCAGAAGTCATAGAGAATGGGGAAAACTTCTCAGTAGGGGAGCGCCAGCTGCTTTGCATGGCCCGGGCACTTCTCCGTAATTCAAAGGTAAAGAAACAGCGTGAAAATGGATTGGTCAAATTTTGGATATTTCCTGCAGTGCCACTCAATTCGGGAGGCAGAACCACAAGTTTGTCTTTCAGCAAAGACAGAGCAATTGAGTCACTGAAAAACCAATCACTACCTTAAGACAAAGTTATGAAGGGTGAAAATGGAAAAATAACAGCCATTTTCTGCAGTAGTACCTTTCTGGCCTGGGCTTCCCCTGGGGAGGTCTTGCTTGGGCGGTCACTCTACGTGCCTCAGTTTGAAAAATTTGCCTACCAGTTTATTCCCTTTGTCCCAGAACAATTCCAAGTCCTCAACAGGACCTGAGACACCCAAGAAAGTCACCAGAATGCTAGCATATGATAAGATTTCAAAAATTTGTAGTTCTCCTGGTGATTTAGCCAGTCTCATTTCCTGAATCTGAGAAAGGTAATGCTGGTGGTTTAGAAATCCCATTAGCAGGGCTGGAGAGATGGCTCAACACTTAGGACAACTGGCTGCTCTTGCAGAGGACCCAGGTTCAGTTCCCAGCACTCACATGGCAGCCAACAACTGTCTGAGTTCTGTAGCATCGATGCCCTTTTCTGGCCTGTATGGGCACTGCTCACATGTAGTACACACAAACACATACACACACAGGCAAAACATGTATGCACGTAAGTAAAAGTTCCATTAGCCAGGTCTCTGTGAAGTATAACTTGCTGCATGTGTGGGGAAAGGAAACCATTTAATGCCTGTGACGGCACTGCTCACTGTGAAGTGGCTATGTGGCTTTGTGCTTCATGCGAGTAAGACACGACCCCTTCACATGTGGGGAAATTGGGTAACCTGGCAAGGTCAAATACAGCTCGGGGTTGAGGTTAAGTCTGTGATCTATAAAGTCCAGTCAGCAGTTTGGCAGGCAGAATAATGCTCCTCTCTCCTCCCAAATGATACCCTGGCCACAGCACCCCAAACCTGTGAATATGTTCCCTTGGCAGAAGGGACCTTGCAGTTACAAGTACATTAAGAATCTTGAAACGGGGAGATTATTTTGGATCTGGAGGGTCTAGTGTGTTCTAAGTATCCTTATAAGAAGCAAGCAGGAAAGTAAAAGAGGACAAGAAATGGGGTGCTAGCGAGGGGTGTGGGCTGAAGAACGAGGGGGCAGAAGCTGGAGAAGGCAGAAGGGATACGGCCCTCAGTCGCCATTACAGGATGGCCAGCTTCTGGAACGGTGAGATGTGAAACTCTCTAGATTTGTGGTTAATTTATCACAGCAGCTGTAGCAAATGTTGACAAGTGCTGGCACTGCACCCCGTGAGGTTTCAAACAGCACAGCACATGCAGTGTTTCTTCTGACCTATTGCCGGTGTCTGAATAAACCACCCAAAAGAGGAGTAGTCTCGTTCCTATAGCAAGTTCCTCTGAGGACCACAAGGACCTTTTCTGTAGCTTTTCAAGAGTCATGCTTAGTTCACTGTGGTTCAGCTTCCTCCTCTTTTTATTTTATTTTTAAATATTTTATTTCATTTTTATTGTTTATGTGTATGAGAGTATTGCCTGCATGCATGTAAGTGCACCCATGTCCTGCAATGCTTGAGGAAGTCAGAAGAAGGTGTTGGATCCCCTGGAACTGGAGTTACGATTAACTGCCATGTGTGTGCTGGGATATGAACTCAGGTCCTCTGCAATAGCAGTCAGTTTTCTTAACTGCTGAGCCATGTCTCCAGGCCTGTGTCCTCCTCTTCTTAATAACTAGAGCTGAAACTATAAGTTTTCCTCTTTGTGCATCTTTGACTTTTACCACTTTCTTAACAGATCATTCTCCTGGATGAAGCCACTGCTTCCATGGACTCCAAGACCGACACCCTTGTTCAGAGCACCATAAAAGATGCCTTTAAGAGCTGCACGGTGTTGACCATCGCCCACCGCCTAAACACAGTTCTGAACTGTGACCTTGTCCTGGTCATGGAAAATGGGAAGGTGCAGGAAGTTCTGGTTGTCTTTGCCTCCTCAAAGGCTTCCCTGGTTTGGGCTGTACGGTGTATAACTTTTTTTTTTTCCCTGAAAATTTCATTTCTTCTCTGGCTTTCAGATGATTGAGTTTGACAAGCCTGAAGTCCTTGCTGAGAAGCCTGACTCTGCATTTGCCATGTTACTAGCGGCAGAAGTCAGACCGTGAAGGTCCCTATGGCTGATTTGAGAGGAGGCTGGATGTGAGAGATGAGCAGGAGTCTGCAGTGCAGTCACGCAGCCCTGGCCATACCCCTCCCACCCGTGGAACACGGGCTGTGTGGTGTGCCCCGTGCTCTGCCCGGCCCATGCCAGTGCCACCTCACCTCCCTTGGCAGACTCAGAGTTGGTTCTGGAGGGTGAAGAGTGAGATGAAGCTGGCGGATTACAAAACTGCCTCTCGCCTCCTAAAACCCCAAGGGTCCCTCATGTGCCCCCACCAGTATCACTGCCTGAGAGCAGGAACATTCTAACTTTCTGTTAAAAAACAGTCATAGTAAACAAGATAGGAAAATGCCTACGGCTAGAGTTTACAAAGGGTTCCTTGCTTTGTTGCCAGACAGGGAAAGGGCAGGTTTTCTTCCTGTTTAAATTCGATTTACCTTTACCGATGTGACAAGCAGTAACTACACAGATCTACAGCATGAAAGACAGATAGTGTTTGGCATGAGATTTAAAAAGAAATCATATTGTGTGTTGCTGTTGATCTGTTAAAATAACCAGGAAGCAAAACACTGGGGTTTCTGAATAAATGACATTTTTATATTTTCTTTATCGGTCATTAAAATGCAGTAGGAAATTAAATGACCCTGAAATGTTGCATTGTAATTATTTTACTGAAGATATTCCAATTTTTGTACTAGTCCTTCTTATAGACTCTTTTCGCCACCTCCCTTGATTCGGTAATGAACCTATGTAATTGTTCACCAAGCCCAAGGTTTTCTATGATGGCTACAGGGAAGACATAACCAGTAACTCAGTGTGAGTGCTACTAATTCATAGAGGAATTTGAGGAAAAGCACAGGAAATCCATTTGCCAAAGGGTGAAGCCACAGCTTTGGCCCATTGTCATTTCTTGGGATTGAAGGCCCTCATTATGTTTCTGGTGAGGGTGGCAGGTTTTTGTGATGTTTGTATGAGGTCCCCTGCACTTTTGTTTCAGTCCCAGACCAAGCCTTAGGCATTGCATAGAGCAGTGTGGTCAGCAAAGCTCCCACCGGCTGCTTTGCACTGTACTCTCCTTTAAAATTTTTTTATTTGTGTAGGTGTTTTGCCTGCATGTGTGTAAGTGCACTTGTATCATGAATGCCCATGGAGACCAGAAGAGGGCATTGGATCCCTTGGAACTGGAGTTACAGATGGTTGTTAGCTGCCATGTAGGTGTTGGGAATCAAACCTAGGTCCTCTTGCAAGAGCTGCTACTGCTCTTAACTACTGAGCCATCTCTCCATCCCCCTGTACTCTCCTTCTGAGCCTTAGTCATATACCTCCCCCATTCTTGTAAACACGGAGAAAGTAGTATCTGGCACATGGGGACATTCAAGAAACACTTCTGGCATGCATGATGGAAACGAGTTTATTCAAGTAACCAAGGTGTCATTATTTTTGCCTCCCAGATTCACCACCATGATAAAGGATTCATCTGGACATGCTGAGATTTCCATTAGACAAGCTGTGATAGTTAACACTGATTGCCAACTTGACAGGCTCTAGAACCACCTAAGCGATGAATCTCTAGGCATGTCTTTGAAGGAGTTTTTCGATTGAGTTAGTTGAGGTAGGAGGATCCACCCTAAATGTGGATGGCACTCTTTTATATGTGCAGGGGTCCTAAACTGAACAGAAAGGTGACAGCGAGCTGAACACCAGCATTCATTTCTCTCTGCTTCCTGACTATAGATGCAGTTTGACCAGCTGCCTCATTCTTCTGCTGCCTTGCCTTCTCCTCTGTGATGGACTGTATTCCTTCCTAAGCTGTGATATAAAAGAAATCCTTAAGTTGCTTTTGTCACAGCAACAAGAAAAAGAGATACTGCAGAAAATTGGAACCAAGTGGTGGCTCTGTTGCTGTGATAAAGCTGACCATATGGCTTGTAGGCCTTTTGAACTGGTTTGTGGGACGAATGTGGAAGAGTTTGAAAGTTGGAACTGAAGAAACCCTAGAATGCTGTAAGCAGATTTTAGTGGGTCATCCTGGTGTGAGTTTGGAAGACCAGAATTCCAACAGAAGTGTGGGTAGTAAAGGTTTAGTTTATGATGTTTCAGAGAACTAGGTTAGAGGCCATTCATGTTATATTCTGGGAAAGCATGTGGCTGCATTCTGTGTCCTGGGAACTTGAGTGAGGCTGAATTAAAAAGTAGTGAACTAACTTGTTTATAAAGGAAAGGTCAAGACTGGACAGCATTTAGGCTACGTCACAGTTACTGTTACTGCTCTTACTCAGGTCTACAGTGAGAGGGAGCAACAAGAGGAGCCAAAAGATGAAAATGTTCAGTCTCGAAAGAATGACTTTAAGTTGTAAACAAGGCATCTTAGAAATCAGCTGTAATTGTTAAATTTGTACCAATTAAGAGAAACCTAGTGTTTGCACTGGATCAGTAAGAAAGATGCCTTGAGGTTAAGACTCCACCCATTAAAGGCTCCATTTTGTGAAATCCAAATTCATTTAAAAAGAGAGAATCTGAATTGAGAATGATGTTGAAGTGGTTCCCTGCTCAAAAACAGCCCAGGGGAATGCTACTCCAGAGTCATGGCACAGAGGCCACTGAAAGTGTGGCCCACGGGGGTCAGGCTGCATCCTGAGCTGGCAGCAGAACTTGGCAGGATCATCTCTGCAGTACTGGTTTTAAAGGCATGAAAGATAGAAGAATGAGCAGGTCATGGAGGCTTGCACAAAGGTGTCTCAAAGCTGGTCAGGCTAGGCAATCTGTGACAGGTTCAGAGTCCCTGCAAGGAAGCCCGGAAAGGCTACTGCATGACTATGAAGGTGAAGCCAAATTGCAATGGGGATTCCAGGATGTTGGTGATGGAATGACGGCAGAAGAAACCTGCTGACCCAGAAGACAGGCTATGTAAGCTGCAGGCAGCAGAACTGGAGGGGTGGGACTACCCAAGCCCTTTTGAACCCACATGAGTCCATTTTGAGGCTTAGTCGCCAAACATGGAGCTGTAGAATTTGATGTTTTCTATGCTGGGTTCCCGTCTTCCCTTGGTCTGATCTTTCCTTGCTAGGCCCCCACCCCTCCATGTTGTAATGGGAATGTTTATCTTGTACTGTTATACTAGTTTGTTTTTTGTTGTTGTGATAAATACCATGACTAAAAGCAACTTAGGGGCAGAAAGAATTTATTTCAGCTTATACATCCAGATCACAATGAGGGAAAGTCAGGGCACGAACTCAAGCAGAAACTGAAGCAGAAACCACGGAGGAATACTGCTTACTGACTCCCTCTCTGGCTTTTTCTCAGCTAGCTTTCTTATACAGCCCAGGCCCACTTGCATAGGAAAGATACCACTCACAGTGGCACAGCTATCATCAGTCAAGATAATTGCTTACAGACATGGCCACAGGCCAATCTGATTGAGGAAAATCTTCAGTTTGAGGTTCCCTTCTTCCAAGATGGTTGTGTCAAAATGTCGAAAGTTATGGTTTAAATGTGATATTTTTGTTTTATTTTTTGTCTTTTTGAGATAGGGTCTCCCTGTAGCCCCAGCTGGCCTGGAACTCACTATGTAGACCAGGCTGGCCTCCAACTCACTGAGATCCACCTGTCTCTGCCTCCCAAGTGTTGGGTTTAAAGGCATGGGCCACCATACCTGGCTTAAATGTAATAGTTTTAAGTGCAAAGTTGACAAGGGGTTGATATATTATGGTTAATATTGTCAACTTGACAGGATCTAGAATTATCTAGGTGACAAATCTCTGGGCATGTCAATGAGAGAGTTTCCAGTTTGGGTTGATGTAGGAAGGTTTTTTTTTTTTTTTTTAAATATTTTTTTTTATGTATGTGAGTGCACCCATGTCATGCAATGCTGTGGAGATCAGAAGAGGGCTTATTCCCCTGGAACTGGAGTTAAAGACGGTTCGCAACCACCATGTGGGTGTTGGGAATTGAACCTGGGTCCTCTGCAAGAGCAGTCAGTGCTCTTAACCGCTGAGACATCTCTCCACACCTGATGTGGGAAGGTTTACCCTAAATGTGGATGACACCATTTCATGGGCTGAGGTCCCAGACTGAATAAAAAGGAGAAAGGGAGATGAGCACTGGATTTCATCTCTCTCTGCTTTCTGATTTCTCTGACTCACTTCCTACTGGCATGTCTTCTCCATCATGGTGGACTGTAATCCTTAAACTGTAAGCTAAAATAAACCCAATCCTCCCTTAAGTCACTTCTTGTCAAGTATTTGGTCAAAACAATGAGAAAAGTAACTAATATACAAGTCAACAGCCAGCATGGGAAGGGGTGAGGGTGTAGTGTTCACCTCCAACCAGTCATTCTGGACAGGCCCTGGGTAGGCATCTGCTGGACTAGAAGAGAAACCAGTGTGGCTGGCCCCAGGTGGAGCTCCCAGCCTATCAAGTGTGGTAAAGCCCACACTTAGGTATCTCACTCGAATCCTGCCATCAGCAGATGGGGCGCCCTCAGGATATGGCTGAAAAAGATACAAGGAGATTCCTTTCAGGTACAGCTCATGCCAAGTGTGGACACTGTATATCCGTGTGATCTGTGTTTCTTCCATTGTCCTAGTTTGTTTCTCCATTGCTGGGACAAAACACTCTGACCAAGACCAACTTGGGGAGGAAAGGGGTTTATTCAGCTTACAACTCCCCGGTCGTAGTTCATCCGGGAGCCCAAGGTAGGAACTCAGGGCAGGAACCTGGAAGCAGGAGCTGGAACACAGGCCATGGAGGAATGCTGCTTACTGGCTTGCTTCCCTGGCCCCTGCTCAGCTTGCTCTCTTATCCAACACAGGCCCACCTGCCCAGGGGTGGCACCACCCACAGTGGGCTGGGCCCTCCCACATCACTCATCAAGAAGATGCCTCTGAGACATGGCCACAGGCCAGTCCAATAGAGGCAATTCTCCGACTGAGGCTCCCTCAACCCAGGCGTGTCAAGTTGACACTAAAGCTATCCAGCACACTCATCATCAAACTCATACCATAGGACTCTGGCCAGGCGGGGTGGTTAGTCATCCTGATGGATGTACAATAACTCCTTGGACATGACAGCCTGACTTGGCTATCCATGATGATCACGGGAATCCATACCAGCTATGGGATGTGGAGGAGGAGTGCTTGATTTTCTACTAACTTTGCCAACAGTCAGACAATCTGTGACTTCAAGCATTTTCAAGTGGACCGGGGTGGGCTGCTCTGATCCCTGTTGTTCATTCAGACACAGAGCGATGACTCACCTCCTGCCACTCCTTTCTGCCCATACTCTTTCTGCCGCATTGGCAGGAGAGAATACTAATATTGATCCTGATGTCTGCTGAGCCTTTGCAGTGTGCCAGACACCATGATAAGCAGTTTTTCCTGAATCATTTCACCTAATCCTTACTTTACCCTGAGAAATGCAAGCTGAGGCTTACTGAGGTTAAGTTTAGCTACAGGCACATGGGAGGGAAGTAGCAGAGCCCTGACCAGTCTGACTCCAGGGGCTTCTCTCGCCCTTTCCTCTGGGCCTGTTCAGGGTCTATGATAGTTGCCAGTATCACAAAGGGGAACTTGTGGAAGAGAGGATGTTGGCATGCAGAGCACGGAATAGTCTTAGCAAAGTCCCCTACCCC